TGGAATCTCCAGCTTGAACCTTTTCAAACCCAGCCCTCAGGAAGCCAAGTGGTGGCCCCTCTTCTAGAGTTGCCTCATTCCAGACTGCCTCAGAGAAAGCCCACCATGGGAGGCTCCACCCTGGAGGGCCTTAAAAGCCCTTCCTTGTGGTTTCCCCTCCTCGTGGTTTTCTCATCTTCCCCTGGGGTCACCCAGGAATGCTTTGCTCACATTAAACCTGGATTTATTAATTTGGTTTGATTGGTTTATTACAACAGCAGCAGCAGATATCCAATAACGGGGGATTCAAAATCAGAAAGGAGAAGGAAAAGGATGATATTAGTGCCACAACAGGCCTCTATTGAGGGAAGTCTGAGGAATTTGAATTATATTTCAGTACAGGAAGTCTTTTCCAGGCCTAAGTGGATTTTTTTCTCAGATTTGTCAGTTAATTATAGAGTTAGTTAGGGTGAGGACTGAAGAACCTGGCCCACCTAGAGCATCAGCAGACTTGACACTATTTATTTATTTTATTTTATTTTATTTTATTTAAGCACTGCTTGCTCCAGCAACCCAAGTCCTCTTGGAACTGTGGACAGGGCCTGCTCGTTCTTACTTGGCTGTGAAAGATTCTTGAGAAGAATGTGTACCAAAACAACATGCTTTATTTGTTCCTTCCCACCCATTGGATTCATTACTCACTGCATGAAAAACCACTGCAAATGGAGTTGTAAACCAAAAAAGGAAGGAAAGAAAGAAAGAAAGAAAGAAAGAAAGAAAGAAAGAAAGAAAGAAAGGAAGGAAGGAAGGGGAAGGAGAAGGAGGGAGGGGGAAGAGGAAAGGAAAGGAAGGAAGGAATGAGAGGAAGAAAGGAAGGGAGAAAAGAAGGAAGGAAGGAAGGAAAAAGCAGGCTACTAAAAGACAGCTCCTGACAATGCTCAGACAAACTTGAAGTTTTCTACAAGCAATTCTTAGCGTGGCTAAGGAAAGTACTCTGGGCACCATGACCATTAAAAACAACAAGGCATTAAACAAGCCTCAGCCTTAATAGGCTGTAAGAGGGAGGACTGAAAAATATTCAAATTACCCAGTCCAACTAATGGCACATTCAATCCTAAATCCATTACTCAAGGTTCCTTAGTAACCCCTAGGCCTCTTCTACACTCTGAAAAGAAGTGTGAAGTAAGGTGAGTGACGGCCATTCTCTGATTGCCCTCGAAAGGACCATACAGTCATTGCAGTTCAAGGGGAGAAAATTGGGTAAAATGAGGATGAAATACAGTAAAGTCAGAATCCTGACTACAAATAGAAATGGGTTTCCTACAATTTTCAATAAAGGACTTTAACGTGGTTGCTGTACCCATGCAGCCTGGAAGTAAGTCTCCCGAGTTGAGAGAGGACTAGATTGTGCAGTTTGGGACTGGAAGAATGCTCTTCAAGGATTATTTGGTCCAACCCTCGGTTGAGGTGAGGCCTTGAGCCCCAAGAGATATGCTGGCCTGTCTCAGACAATACAGTGACCTCATGGGGTGGGGGAGTTTAGGGCCTTGTCACCCCCTGTAGTTCATGCAAACTATGATATAAGCTTGCAGGCTGACCATAAACAGGAATTACCGTTAGACTCTGAGGAGGGTAAATGCAACAACAGGGAACCCTTGATCCCAAAGCAAACAAACGGCTGTACTCACCAACAGGGAAGAACTCGCTCATTTTCTTTTTGTAGATTTTGAAGTCAACTTCTAGGAAGACACAGAAGATGATTCGGTCCACCTGGAGGCAAACAATAAATGCTTGAAGTGGAAGGAAATATGGCAAAAGTTTACTCAAAGCACAGTTTAGAACAAATAAAGATGAGTGTGAAAGCTTCATATAGATTATTGGTGCTGGAGTACTAACTGCATCACAGCATCAAGTGATGTGTAAGTGTGTGTGTGTGTGTGTGTGTGTGTGTGTGTGTGTGTGTGCTCTTGAGTTTATGAGTCATGCCTGAGTGTGCACCTGAGTGTACATGCTCTGTTTATAAAGAAGCCATGGCTGCTTCAGTGGAGAGATGCTACATAAATAAGAGATAATAAATGACAATCAGCCTCGTTATTACAGCAAGCTGTAAATAACGCTGAGATTCTGACAGGCTACCTAGACTTTATGTTCTCTAAAACAGCCACAGGAGAGGCAGATGGACGAGTGACAATAAAGTACACCAGTAAACAAAGAGCTCTTTGTCCTAATCTTGTTACACAAACACAGTAATCAAACCCGTAATCTTTGAATGTGGCCTACAAAGCTTCCATGAGTTTAATTTACATGAAGCCACTTGCTTTTCGACTAACAGACTTTAAAAAGCAGCAGAAATAAAATGATAGTTGTCAGTAACACAAGGTCAATGAACACTTAATTTTGTAGTTATTGTTAAGTAAGTGTCAAATCAGAAGTAAAATGTGTGCACAGTCTCCTTTTTTTTTTTCTACTTCGAGAGAGTGTTGGCACATATGGGATTTCTTTGAAATATTCTTGAAATATTCAAGAATAATGTGTCAATGAGAGAAAAGATGGACTAATACAGTACTCATATAAACTCAGGAACTCAATTTTGTATCTGGAACATAAATACTCCCCTCTTTCCTTTTCTCAACAATGAGAAATAAACGTTCAAAACATTCTATCAAGGTACAAGTGACAATTGAATGAAACATCAAAGCATTTCTTGTTGGAGTGGGGGATAGATGTGGGATGGGGATGTAGCAGGACAAGAAAGAACCTAAATAGATGCTACCCCGCCTAACCGTTCCACTCTTCCGCCATGTTGAATGCAGATCCTGTCACTCACCATGAGAGTTTTCATTCAGTAGCAAAGAAGCTCTAGTGTGACAGATGGCAGTGGGTCACAAGCCACTGTGAAATCATGTGAGGGAAACAAGTCCAGAGGCTTGGCGCTCTACCTCAACAAGGCTGGACAGCCTCCTGGTCACTCAGTAGAATTCCATTCCATAAAGAATAAGCTACCCTCAAGCTGCCTCATTGACTCCAGTACAAAACAAACAAAAGCACGTGGCCTTAAAAATAGAAAGACAGTGTTGAAATGAGTAGATTTCTTTTTTCCTATTTTCACTTTTGAGTAGGATGTCCAGTCCTAGCTCTGTATTATTAATACTGCCTATATACACAAAAAAGTACAGGTTCCCCCATCAAATCATTTTCCAGGTGAACTATAATTTTAGTTAAAAGGGAGCGATTAAGTCTGTGCATGCCCATACTCCTTATGGCGTGTTTATATCTAGCGGCAAAGACAAAAACCATGCACAATGACAAAAGTGTGTTGCTGAGGAGCAGATTTTATAAAACCATTTCTCCATTATTTTAAAAACACAAAGATACAACAACATATGGATCCATCCATGTTTACTATTAAAATAATAAGTTCGAGGACTTTGGGATAAGTCGGCCTGAGTTTCTTTATAAGCAACACAAAGACAAGCAGAAAAAAGAAACTTGAAATCAACTAACTAGAAGCTAGCACCTGCCACCTAGCTTGGTTCTTCAGTGGAATGATTTGATAAGGCAGCTGCTCCACGATGGAGCAAACATCTTTTTGCCTTATATCCATGTCCACACTATAAAAGTCTCCTTATGTTCTCTGAATGGTGGCCAGTGGTGCAGGCAGTCTGCCCATCCTGTGAAATGCTGCTGTTCAGGAATGCCTCAACTCCCAGTGTGCTGTGATTCTCTTTCATGCATACTAACATGGTTTTAAGATGACTGTGATTTCTGCAAAGGGTGGGGGTTTAAATCCTTAGTGATTTACTTGTTAGAAAGTGAAGAGGTTTGAAACAATATGACATATAGCTGATAGCTATAAACTGTGGGGTAAGTATATGGATGAATTATTTTATTGATTCTTTCCCCAAGTTTGGAACATTTCACAGTTAAAGAATCCAAAGTTGATAAGATTCTCTTGTGTTCCCTTAGTCAGACTCAGTTTTCTAGCTGTGCTGAACCACTTGGAGTTTCCAGAGCCCAAAATTATTCTTCTGTACCTTATGAGCATTGACTGTTTTTCCTTCACATTTATAGTTAAGAACAACAAATCAGGTGATGTTTTATATTTTTAATCATTCATGTATTTCGTGTGTGTGTGTGTGTGTGTGTGTGTGTGTGTGTGTGTGTGTGTGAGTGTGAGTGTGTGTGTGTGTGTGTGTGTGTGTGTGTGTGTGTGTGTGTGTATGTGTGTGTGTGTGTGTTCCCATGTTGGAGGCTCTTTTAGTAACCATGTTATTTTCTACTATTAACTTCAAACACCATCCGGTTCAGATCAAGATTGTGCAAACATGGTGAGGGATCATAATCTACTTCTGGTTCAATACCCTTAATGACCATGGGGATGATGTAGGTTCAAAATTTATCCATCCGGTTAACTTTCCACAGTTAAAATAGGATGCTGAAGTTGGAGCACTTTAATTTTAAAATAATTGGTTGCTCTAGCTAAATGTCTTTACTTATAGGCCAAACACAGCTAAAACCAGCCTGCCAGCAAATTGAGTCCAAGGATTACCTTCATTCACTATATACTTGTATTCCCTTCTCTACAGTACTATTACATAAGGGTCCCCTTAATTGACTAAAGTCTATTTTTAAAGTCATTCTAGTACTGATAATTCTTCATGCTGTGGTTCTCTTTATAGTACATGAGCATGGTACTACTCTCACTAAGTGGGATCTAAACTCCCATCTCTTAAGTCTGGGCCACCTGTGATCGTAAAGGAATGATGTTAACTGGTTTGTGAGTGAGATGAGGTAATTTGGATTCCGTCTAGTATTCTTGGGAGGATATTTCTTATACACAACCTTCATGTGGCAAGAGCATGCAGAGAACCCACATGTAGCTATTTTGGCAACAGCTCCAGCTGGAAGTGGGTAGCCTTTCCATGATTTCAGCTCCAGGCATTTAAGCCACCCCAGCTGATACACACAGAGCAGAGAAGAGGCACTCCTGCTAGACACTCATTACAAATTCATAAGCAAAGACATAGAAATATATAACGACAGACTTGACATCTTCCCGGCTTCTCCTGGCACCACTTTTTTGAGTCTTGCATTACAGCTCTTTGGTACTTTACATCTGTCGAAAAGCTCAGATTGAACTGATTATACAAGTAGAAACCACCTTTGCATGAGAAGGACACCAGCAGAAAGTTTAACTGCTACAAGATTGGGGGACTAGAAATCTGACTTGTACAAAGAAGAAAGCCCTGCTTATTTCATTCTAGCCCTGGATGAATTCTAAAAGAACCTTTGGCAACTCAGCATGGTACCACTCATTTTTTCTTAAAGCCATTGGACAGCTTCATAAAATGAAGGCTTTTGAGACCATTCATTTATTCATATGTTATCAAGTGAGTTGCCTTCAGTTGTCAGGGCACGGCCCACACACATTCTGTGTCTATGATAACAAGAGTTCAGAAATTGAGTGGCCTTTTTGCAGTATCAGAAAATTAATTAATGATAAAATCGCAGGGCTCCTCACTTGAAATCTTGAATTTTTCTCTTTGATGTTACCTGGAGAGAGACCTATGCTATTGAATGTCTAGGCCTTCCCTTAGATATGAGACAGCAGAGGGGTCATCATCTCTGTGGGCCTCAGTTTTCAAGCTGTATAATAGCAAAGGATGCCATCTCCAGTGTCTCATCCATAGCTGTTATAGTCTCTCCTTGCAGCTGTTTTGTACTGTTTGAATTCAGTAAACTAGACCTACACTTCTGTAGTGGTTCTGGATTTGGGTTCACCACAGGAACAGTTCCTTGGGCTTTGCAGGGCAGAAGCATAGCCACAGCTTTCACTAGGGTGGTGTTTTTAGAGCTCCAGGCAGACTGTGTGTGTTCTTGAGGATCACTTTGGGAAGCAGCAACTGGGGGCTTCAACAGCTTTTTCTGGTCTCTGCCTCAGGTTCTCTGAACACTGAGCTTTGCACATATGCATCCTGGGTCCTTCTGATGGATATTGCATTTTGGGTACCTGTGGTGATATCTTGCTTGTACAAATAAAGCCTGTCTGAAGGTCAGAGAATGGAGCTTGCCACTAGCTAAACATAGAGATCTGGGGGTCTGTACAGACAGACAGGAAGTGAGATAGCTGGGCGGAAACAGGATATAAGCAGGGAGAAACAGGAACTTGCTCTCTTGTCTGCTGAGATGCTAAGGAGATAAAGTGTGACTGTGGCTTGCTCCTTCCAGAGAGTGAGTTGCCAGGAGATGCCAAGTAGCTACTGGGAAGATAGGACGTCCTGGCATTCTCTGGTAAGCCAAGATCATGTGGAGATACACAGATTAATAGAAATGGGTTAATAGCTCAGAGAGAGATAGCCAATAAGAAGCCTGAGCCATCAGCCAAACAGTGTATAATTAATGCAAGCCTCTGTGTGTTTATTTGGGACTAAATGCCTGTGCTGGGACAGAAGCATCCATCCACAGGTACCAAAGCAGTGAGGCAGGTCCACATGCCACTTTGTTGAAGTAGGTTCTGGTTTTCATCCATGGCTTCCACTGTGTCTTATCCTCTCTCTCCCAGGAAGTGTTTCTGAACCACACATCCTACTAACATCCCCCAAGCACTCTTCAGAAGTCTAGCCTGTGAGCCTCAGTTAGGATCTCTCCTCTGACCAGGAAGTACCCCACACTGGGCACGTTGCCATCATTGCACAAGATGTGGTTAGTTAAGAGAAAGGGAAAGAGAGAGAGAGAAAGAAAGAAATCTTTACTCCCTATGTAACTCATAGTATTATGCTTCTGTGGTTAAACTCCAACTGACACAGTCTTTGTATCAGTTCAACGAGGATTATATCACCCAGAGGAACTCAATGAAACACAAAAACTAACAGTTTTCAGAGATGTGTAACCTGTCAAAGAGATTTAATTGCTAATTATTTCCTTCAAATGAATGACATTGAATCCTAGCCTAGCAAATCTGCTCAGTGAACTTCCTAAAGTGTGCATCTCCTCTTCTGTAACTAAGTTCACAATTTAAAATGACTCACTTTGTATTAACAATTGACAGGTAAATTGCATTTGATCTACAATCTAAAGCACAAAAGGCAACATTAATATGTTCTGGAATTTGCCACCTGACATACCCTTCATGACACTGCAAATGAGTATCTTTTAAAGAACCAGGTAACACTCATAAGTCCTTTGTTTCACTAGTTCACGGCAAAGGTCCTCACATGTAATATGTAGCTTTAGACATATTTGCAAAGTTCATTGTTCAGCAAACACACCTGACCAAGATATGGGTATGTACCAGATACTTTTTCAAACTAAATTAAATTAAATTCAACTAAATTAAAAAATAAGAAAGTAAACTGGATAGACTCCCTGCTAGATTTGCTAGAAGGCCTGCCTGTAAGTAGACTTTAAGTAGTGGAGGTGGGACTGTCATCTTCTCTTGTGATACTAAGTCCCTTGACTCTCCATTTCAGTGATGGTGTTTTCCCACTGGGTGCTCATTAGATTCACAACAGCAACAGCAATATCCTATACACCAACAGAGATTAAAACCTAATAGCTCTTTAAAATAAACATACAGTATCAAATATTGGTGAGTATGTAGGTTATCAAGAACTTTCACAAGCAGCTTTGAAGAATAAAAATGACCACAACTGCTTTGAATAGTTTTTAACAATACTAAATTAAGTAAATCTATTCACACACTATGACCCTGTAATTTCCACCTCAGGTGCACACCCAGCTGATATGTTCACCAGAAGCATGACTCCAGAAGGTTCAACATAACTATTTTAATATCTCCAATTAGGAAGCTGTTAAATGGCCAGAGATGTATAAACACACCAGTATGTAGTCACATGATGGAATATTAGAAACTAACGAAAAGTGAAAAAGTTTACAGGCACATATAAAACACAGGGAAATGGCACAATGTGGCATAAAAATCCACCAGGAGCAGAATGCACTGGATAACTCCATGTCTGTGGTATTCAAAAGTGTTTACAAGTAGATTAAGTCAGCTGTGCTGTTAGCAATTATTTCAGGGTGTGTGCTGCTGGAAGCCATGCTAGAGAATGTCTATCTAGCATCCTTTCTTTTTCTCTTTCTTTCTTTCTTTTTTTTTTTTTTGTAATTTGGATGCTGGTTCCCTGGACATACTGTTCAGTTTGTAAAAATTTATCAAGTTGTTCACTCAGGAACTGTATGTAAGCTACTATACTTCAAGAAGAATTTATTTTTTAAGGTTGAAAGTCTATGCTTCAGTTGTCTTGGTCAACCATCAAAAATCTATTTTCATTGACTTAGGGGTCAAAACATCCTCTAAAGGCTGACCTTCGAAAGGCGATCGCTCCATATATTTCCTCTGAAGCCAACTGCTGCTCACCCATCAAGGCACACAGGAGTAAAGATATATTTCCTTCACCAAGATACCCATTAATCCACAGTGGGAGGTTTTGTGCCCCATAAACATGATGGCATAAGTCCTATTCATCTTTTTCAGTATTACATCCACTGTTACTGAGGAGGTTACAAGGGAGGCATGCTGGGAGTATCAGGAGCCACCCTCCATTTTTCACAAGCAGCAGTCATAGGACAGCCGACATGGCCAAGATTAGCCAGTATTCAGCAAGAATAGGAGAATGCAAGGATCCGGATCCATGTAAGTGGTCTCCCTGCCCTGAAATTCAGTCGGTGAGCATGTAAATCACAGCATAACTGAGAGTTACCTTGGCTGGCTGGGGTGAAATCACTGCCTTCTTGAAACCACACCAACAGCCTCATCTACACAGGCTGCAGAGGGGTAGAACACAAAATAGTAGTTTCTACTGATAATTGATTTAAACTTCGGAATTTACCAAATTTGGTTAAAGTCACATTTTGAGAGGGTGTGAGATTGGGACGCTTGGTGGGTGAAGGTTCACTGACTCACTAGAGTGTGTGGCTCTGGCAGGCCTTGCCCTTCTCCCCTATCGCCTCTGCCTTGCTAAAAACCATTAGATTACATTCCTAAATCTAGCCACCAAGATCTATTCCCTTATTTGGCCACTTCCTCCTCCTGAGGCTGACTATCAAGGTCCAGCTGTATTGAAATCTAACAATCAGAAGTCCCCTTTGGCTTACTTAGTTAAAATTAAACATCTCATCCTAACAAGGGGTTTGCCCTTTGACCTTTACAAACCACCATTTGCCTATGTACTACATCCATCTCCCCTCTATCTCGAGGCAGTCCTTTGTCCCTTTTCCCTTCTCTCTAGTCCCCTAACTCCTTTACCACCACACCCCAGCCCATTCTGATAGACTTCCCCTCTTCACCTTCCTAAAATTACCCCTGCAAGGTCATTTGCGGCTGTTTCTGCCTGAGTCAGAAAGCAGTCACTTTAACTTTGCTTCCCCACTTAATAAAGGATCTCTGTGTGAAAACCAGTGTTTGACTGTGGTTCCAGCCTAAACCTGGGTCCAGGAAGGACCCTGCTGTGTGGAATTTCATTCAGTTGGAGTTATCTTGATGCTTTGAATAAGCCAAAGATAGAGAGGGCAAGACCATTGCAGGCTAACTGACAAAGCCAACCAGGAAGTTGAGATGCTAGGAACTTAGTCCCTCCTCTCACACTAAGTGAAGCAATGAACAATCTTTTTCCCTTCCTGTTGATTAGTTTTCAGTTGTAGCATAACAAATCACAATGAAATCAAAAGCTTCAACAACAGCATTTACTATCTCACCTGTTCTAAGCACACAGGAAAACCAGGCCCAACCTGCTTGAGTCTTCCGGCCAGTCTCAGAAACTACATTGCAGTCCTCACCAGAGGCTGGAGATTTGCCTCCAAACCCACCTTTCCCAACTGTCAGTAGAATTCTGTTCCTACTCTTAAAACTATTGACCATTAGAGACGTTGTTTAGCTCACAAAGGCTACATGTAACTCCTACCTGTGGATATGGACATGGGTGCTTTCTTCCTCCTGGCCTAGCAAGAGTATCTCCAGGATGTTCCTTATTCCCAAGCTCTAGAGTCTTGTTTTAAGAACCCATCTAGTTAGGGGGCGGGAGAGATGGCCCTGTAGGCTATTCTTGTTGCATAAGCATGACTACTTGAGGTCCAAGCTCTAGAGTCTTGTTTTAAGAACCCATCTAGTTAGGGGGCGGGAGAGATGGCCCTGTAGGCTATTCTTGTTGCATAAGCATGACTACTTGAGGTTGCTACCGGGAACACGTGTAAAGGTAGAAGTGAACCAATCATGGAAAGTTGTCCTTCTGTCTCTACATGCACAGTGGAATGTAATGGTGTATACACATGCAAACACACACACTTTAAGTAAAGTTAACAAAGGACCTATCTAATTAGGTCAGGTCCACTAGGACAATTTCTCTTTTAATTAAGTCATTGATTAAACTCCTTAGTCATAGCTTTAACAATCACCTTTCCTAACCAAGCTGTTACTGAGTCATTATGTTTGCCATATACATCCATAGGGAAGAGAAGTCTGAACAAAGCAAGTACCCATAGAGATGAGTACCCGAATCCTAGGGCCCATTGTAGTCTTCCGTTTCCCATATAAGCTATTTCCATGTTACCAACTCCCCCATATATCAGTTTATTTTTCCCACTGCCCTGTTTTTTGTCCTAGGAGGAAGCTACTTACTCCTTCCCAAGCCTCAATTTCCTCAACTCTAATATGGAAATAGAGACATGGTAGGATTTAGGGTCTTAAAACAATGCTGGTCTCTTAGCTTGGGGTTCTGTGAGCCCAAGATCCAGCATAGTGTGATTGTTCAAAACATTCTGTTCAATTCATCTCTAGGCAGAAGTCAGCTGCACTGGGCAATTCTCTGGAACCTCATTTTGGCAGATGGCATAGTCAGTTCCTTGCAATTGTAAGCACAGGTTTCTATTTCCACAGTAGTAGGCCATTGGGCATATCCTCACCAGCTATCTGAAAGTGTCCTGCATTTTTCTTTTCTTTTCTTTTCCTTTCCTTTTTGACTCTATCATCAAGCTAGAAAAGATGTATCGAATCCTCCCTGGTTTTGAATCTCTTGAATTCCTCCTTGGCTGACTCCTAAATCCAGATGAAAAGGATACATGTGGTGGGGTGATGACCATTTGGGTAAGTACTCAGACTGAGAGTGAAATGATGCAGACACTTTGTTACTCACCAAAGGTCTTTCGAAGGGGTCTTTAGATCAGTTTTCTAAACCAGATCACAATAAGGTCCTAGCCAGGTGAGCCTACTACCTGTGCTTTGTTAGTAAAAGGTACCCCACCCCAAGGTTTTAAGGAATTCATTCGATCTTAAAAATGGCTAGTAAAATGCATGAAGAACACCTGTAACATACAAATGGGGGACATGGGAGCTCCACAGAGCCATAGCCATCACTGGACAGCTGCAAGCTTTGGGGGCTCTTTCCCCAGTCCACCAGCCCACTTCCCGTTCTTTGGAGTGCTTTACACTCTTTAAAAAGATTTATTTATGTGTATACATGTGAGTGTATGCCCAGGTATATGTGCATGCCCATAGAGGCCAGAAAAAGTTTCTAGACCTAGAATTTCTAGTGGCTGTGAGCCATCAGACTTGTGCTAGGAATCGAACTCCAGGCCTCTGCAAAAACAACTACTCTTAAATGCTGGGCCATCTTTCTAGCTGCCTGCTTTTTCTTTCTTAATAAGCTGAATCTATTCCATTTTTTTTAGTTATGTGTCTCTGGTGGAGTCTTTTGCCATGGAACCCCAAAGCCCTCTGAACTCAGGTCTCTGGCTGAGACTTCTAAGTATGTTCTTCCTGACAGTTGGGCTTTCTCACGGGTTTTCTTGCTTCTGTGGATAATCTAAAAGGCATGACTTTTCTTCATTTTCCTGTTCCTAGCAGCTGCCAGGATTCTCGGCTTGTCTGTGCTGTTGTTTTTCTCTCAGATTCTAATAAAAACTGTCCTTGAGCTTAAAAAAAAGGCTCATATATATAATACATACACAACTTTCTAGCCGTGGCTCTGTTAGCCAGTGAGAGAGAAATGGTCAGGGGACACTCAAGCACTGTAATGGAAAGATTTCTCAGAACCCCGAGGAAGTGCTTGTTCTGGTGTTTTAATGTCCCTTTAAGTTTCAATAATTATCTTTCTTCTGTGTCTTTCTTAAAGGTACAAAGCACATTCACACTCATGGCAGCCACAGCAGAAATCTGCATCTCAAACTCTGAATTGCAGAAGGAGGCAATTGTCTTGCCATGTTCTCAGAGAAATTTGGATGAGCTGGGGAGCATTTATAACCCATAAACATTTAAAGGGCACTTTTTGCATTTTGAAATTGCCTCTGCATGCATGAGAAGGATCTTTTATTGTGTGTGTGTGTGGGGGGGGGGTTGCAAACCCAGTACATCTGTCATTCCTGTGGCAACACTATTCAGACTCTTTTACTCTTTCTGTTTTGTTTGGATAAATTGCTCCTTTTGACTTTTCTTCAACTCTTAAAAAAATGGCCATGTAGCTGAAGAGCTTTAAGTTATTTTGGTTTGAGCTGGAGGGTTATTTGTACAAAAGTTAATTTCCAGTTTTGCCTCATATTGATCAAAAATGGACATCCTTGCAAATGTCACATCTATCATGGTTCTTGAAGCTATTCCAAATGTTGAGCGTAAAATACAGGTCTGCATGTACATGTGCTTTGGTCCTACAATTTCAAATTCTGACAAAGCAAGCTCATCTTCCTTGCCCTTGTAATCAAAGTGGTCCTGGGAGACACTGGGCTCCAGGTGGAGCGGGGCTGGCACAGAATGGGGCTGGTGTCAGTAAAGATAGAGAGAAGTTTCTACTCCCTCTTCTATGATGCCCCCTGAGTCTTAGTCATACAGGTTGTGTTGTAGATATATTAACCAGGGCTGAGCGCTGCACATATTTTTATCATTGTACATTTCATAATGGTCTCTATCTGGAAGTTACAGGCAATTAATAGCTGCTGAGAGAATGGGAATCAATTGTCTTCTGGGAATTAGTCCTCTGATTGTATAGGTTATCCAATCTTATGTGGGCAGTCCTAAACACATGCACATGTGTGCAGCACTAAAGTCACTCAGCAGGTGGCATCTGTAAATGTACATATACATATGCAATATACATTAGATATATACATTATTTATATATCAATAACAAAAATGTAAAAGAGCAGCTTACAATGCTGGCTACATCTGTGTTTCCCTTGAGGACCAAGGATGGTCGTTCTGCTTTCACTTCTGCTACAGGCACTGTTGAGTGGAATGACAGACAACACTTCGCCCATGTTGACCCTCTCTTCCTGGAGTCAACCATCCTCCCATGACAGACCCCAGCAGATGACAGCCTTCCTCCTGTGACAGACCCAGGGCCCAGCCTCCTCACTATAACAGCAGCCAGTCTGAAGGAGCTTGTGGGAAAGGCTGAATGGTGTGCCCCACCACCATCCGTCCCCTACAGCAGGACTCTCAATACCTTAGAACATGGATGTAGTTGGAAAGAGAATTTAAAGAGGTGATAAAAGGAAGTCTTGAACCCCAATCCAGGTGATAACTGTGTTTGTAAGAAGAGGTAACTGTAACGGGATGCAATGGGATGCACAGAGGGAGAGGGGCATCTGCAAGCCAGACAGGGAAACTAAAGAAGCCATGAAAGCTGATACCAAACTATTTCTCTTTCAGCCTTCAGCTATAAGGAAATGCATTTTTTTCCCTATAGTTTAAACTACATGGTCTGCTATTTTACAAGACACTCCTGGCACATTAGTGCACTTTAGCAGCTCAGGCACCCTTTGAGGGATCACCTGACTCTTCACTGCCATTACCACAGTGCAACTTCTCCCAACCTGGCTTCCCGCATGTTCCCTCCTGCTGTAGGTATTGATCAATGCTGCCTTCCCACGAAGCTCCTGACTGCACATCTCATGCTCAGTGTACTGCCTGGATAAACTTGACCCCTGACAACACTAGATAGATTCCATGCCATCTCTTAGCATCTAGCCTGTCAGAAGTTAATTCAGCCCTGGAGTGTCTAACTCCATGAAAGAACCCAACTCCTCAGTGCATTTTGCTGTCATTTGCAGGGTACACTAAGTACCCTCAAACTAAGAAGATGCTGCCAGGAATAGGCCTTTTGACTCAAATCTCTTTTTCCCCATCCAGTCTGTGACATGAAATTACCCTCCCAATGTTAGAACTATTGTTCATGCAGCTCATGTCAACCCCCGACCCAGCTGCAACTCCCTATTGTATATTTCATACTCCTGCCTCTCGGAACACGCTTTCCTCTTTCTTTTATTTGATTAAGAACATCTGCAGAGGTGGTTCAGATACAAAAGTTAATAATTACTCCTTCTTTGTCACGGTAATTAAAAATCTCAAGGAACAATTGTCATTCATCGCTGTCTATGAGTTTGCCAATGAGAACAGTGCTCTATAAAGCCAAGGAATCATGACCTTAAAAAAAAAATGCTGTTATTAGGAGAAATAAAAATCTCTCCTCACAGGGAGAAAGAAGAACTTTATGCCTAGTCATAGGGTGGCTCTGCAGGCTGGTTAAGATGCTCTAAGGGTGGGGAGGGCTACCACACAACTCTGCAAGGCCCCGTGTGTATTATCACATCTTCCCGTTGCCATTAGCATCTGACATGCTCTGCAGATGCCATTTACAGTTCAAAGAGAAACTCATTAACATATCTTCCAAAAGAGCATTCTGTGAGGACAAAAGCCGGTTTTTGTCTTTTTTTTTTTCTTCCTCAGGCTGGTGGCCCTCCCACTTTTGCAAGAAAGAATCTCTTTGTTCAAAAGGGAAACTTCAAGAGCACAATCTCTCTCCAGTAATTTTCCATAGGCTCATGTCTCAGACAACATGAAGCAGCAAACCAAAATGGTTCTATCATCAATTCCCCCTGAGGCTGATGGTGGCAGCAGTGGTATGTGGTGGGAAGAGGCGGGGCTGTTTTGGTCTGAGTGTATGCTGTGTATAAAAGACAGAAAGGAAGAAACTACTGTCAGCGTTTATCCCCTGACTGGTCCTCTAGTCTCCA